GGAAGCAAAAGGGCAGTTGAAAAGGGAGCAAGCATATCAAAGGAAGGAAACTACCTTGGAGAAGAAGGAAGAGCAATGGCAGCGGTGGTTCGCCAGAAGCCACCTCACGAGCCATGAGTATGGTGAGTTGGAATTGTAGGGGGTTTGGCCAAACCCTTACAAGAAGCTATGCAAAAAGGCTTTTTCGGCGTTATAGCCCATGGAAACGAGTAAGAACGAAGCTTTCATGGAAGACCAAAGAAGAAGTTTTAAAATTTTCCCCAACTACAAGTATGTGGAGCCAGTGAACTCCTCTAGAGGGTTTGCTCTTTGGTGGAAATCGGGTATTGAAATTGAGGTGCTAGATTGTAATAGCTACTTTATGGATGTTAGCATTGACATGGGTAGGAAGTTTTTTTTGTACGTTTGTGCATGCCCCTTCTACATCTGTTAGAAGAAGGGAGTTTTGGGAGCTCTTAAGCTCTCTTAGGGATAGTAGAGATGACAAGTGGGTTGTTGTGGGTGACTTTAATGATGCTTTGTATGAATATGAAAAAGAGGGGAGATGCTCCCTTAGGTACGAGAATGTAGAACCTTTCAAGAGGTTCATCTATCACAACGCCCTAATCGACATTGGCTTCAAAGGAGAGCCGTTCACTTGGTCCAACAAGAGAACGAGTCAGAACACGGTCAGAGTTAGATTGGACCGGGTTTTGTGTTCCACCTCCTGGAGAGAGCAATTTGGGGGAGCAGTTGCGTTTCATGAAAAAATGGTGGAGTCCGATCATTGCCCTATCAGACTCGACCTGCACTTTGGAGGCAACAGGATGAGAAGGACACCATTCAGAGTGGATGAGAGATGGCTTGAGAAGGAGGAATGTCGGGGTATCATAGCGAGAGAGTGGGATCCAGGGGGGCCATCTACGACACAATTGAGCAAATGCGAGAGGGAACTCAAAGCATGGTTAAAGGAGTTCCATCAAACCAACTCGCAAAGAGAGATGGATATCCTGAATAGATTGGAGGTCCTACAACAGCCACCGAGAGATCAAGATAATGTGAGGAAGAAAAGAGAATCACAGCTGAGCTGGCTAGGTTGTGGATTGAGGAGGAAGATTTCTGGAAGCAGTGTTCGAGAGTGAGTTGGCTCTAAAAAGGTGATCAGAATACCTCATTTTTTCACTCTAGTACAACTCATCGAAGGCACAGGAACAAAATTCTCCGACTCAAAGACGAGATGGGAAACTGGGTCGAGGATTAAGGAAGATTGAAAGGAATAGCAGGGAATTTCTATAAGGGCTTGCTCAAGGCGAGAGATCTGATGCCTTTCAACCATCTTCTGAGTGACTTCCCAGGAAAAGTAACCAGTGAAATGAATGAGGACTTATGTGCGCCGGTTAATAATGAGGAAATCAGAAAAGCGGTGTTCTCCCTTGGAGCGAAAAAATCACCGGGTCCGGATGGCTTCTCGGGTCAATTCTATAGGAGATTTTGGAGTACAATTGGAGAAATCTTGTGTCGAGAGATTAAAGATTTTTTTGAGACTGCTAGCATGCCGGATGGGTGGAATGATACTCACATTGTTATGATCCCAAAGGTTGAGCACCCGGAGGAGATTGGCCAATTTCGGCCTATCAGCTGCTGCAACTTCAGATACAAGATCATATCTAAAATCATGGCCACTCGGCTGAAGAAATGGACCCCCGAGTTAGTTTCTCAGCTCTAAACTGCATTCACTAGTGGGCGGTTGATACAAGATAATGTTATCATTGTCCACGAAGCACTTCACCATTTCAAGAATCACAAAAAGGGGAGGAGGAAGGATATGATGCTCAAGCTGGATATGCGAAAGGCTTACGATTTGGTTGAGTGGGATTGCCTGGAAAATTTGCTTAGCAAGTATGGGTTTGAAGACCGATGGTGCAGATGGGTCAGTGCATGTATCAGATCGGTTAAATTTTCCATCCTTTTCAATGGAGAAGCTACTGATCCTCTATCACCTTTTCTCTTTATTTTAATGTCGAATGCTTTATCTTTTCTTATTGAGAAAGAGGTGATGGAGGGTAAGATCCAAGGTATACAACTAAATTCAAGATGCCCGGTCCTCACTCATTGCATGTTTGCTGATGATACAGTTATCTTGGAAAAAGCTAATCATCAGGAGGCCGGACGAATTCTGGAGATTATTAAGGATTATGGTGCTATCACAGGACAGGAAGTTAACTCACATAAATCCTTGGTTTTCTTCAGTGCGAATGTGACAGATAGTGGGAAAGAGGATATCATTGCCCATATAGGGTTTGCCAGCTCTAATTGCCACTCAAAGTATCTTGGGGTTCCTACGGAATGGGGTAATTCTAAGAAAGAGACATTCTCATTCCTCATCCAAAGAATGGAAAAGATGGGAGAAGCTTGGAAGAGCCTACTCTTATCCCATGGAGGGAAAGAAGTTCTCCTGAAAGCAGTTATCCAATCCATCCCAACTTATATTATGTGCCTCTTCCGCCTTCTAGTGGCACTCACCAAGAAAATGGATACGATTCTTAGCAACTTCTTCTGGTCAGGATCCATGCAGAAAATTAGTATGCAATGGTGCAAAAGAGAGATATTGTGCTCCCCGAAGACGGAAGGAGGGCTTGGTTTCAGAAGTTTCAAGGATTTCAACTTGGCACTCTTGGAAAAGCAAGCATGGGGCTCCTTTCATCACCAGATGCGCTTTGGAGCCGCCTGTTACGAGGATTGTACTTCCCAAAGGGAAACTTCCTATCGGCAAAGAAGGGCAGTAGAGCATCCAGGATTTGGGCGAGCCTATGGGAGGCCAAAAAAGTTGTTGAGATGAGAACGGTGAAAGTTATTGGATCAGGTGAGGGAACATGGGTGGATCAGGATCCGTGGGTCCCTACCCTCCAAAAGGCTACTATTGGAAGCGACCCTCAGAACCATATAAGAGTTAAGGAGTGGATTGATCCGGGAGAAAGGATCTGGAACTCAAATCTCATTCACAGAAACGTGACGGAGGATGAACTGGAGGCTATAATGAGAATCCCTATTGGGGAAGAGGAGTTGGAGGACTTTTGGGCTTGGAAATTTAATAATGAGGGCATTTTCACTATCAGATCAGTGTATCACGCGATTCATAAGATCAACACCATCACTGCGCCACCGAGGAATTCTGATAAGTGGAAATGGATTTGGTTTTTACAACTGCCTCCGAAGCTCATTTTCTTCATTTAGAGGTGTGCAAGAAATGGGATAGCCACGAAAGAGAGGATGCGGCATCGAAAATGCTCTTCGGATGCGACGTGCCCGGTTTGCCAAAACCACTTAGAATCAATCGTCCACTGCCTGTTTGAGTGCCAGCATGCGTTAACTTCATGGAACAACATTTTGATTGTCTACGATTGGTTCTGCTCATTCCACCACCTTCTTCGATTGGTTCTGCTCCTTGAAAGACAGTATACAACCCAATAGTCTCATCTTGATTGTCTACCTCTGCTGGAATATTTGGAAGGCAAGGAATGAGCGTGCCTTCAAGAATCGTATCCCGTGGTCCCCAAATACTTGTAGGCAGACTTTCAGGGAGTTCACCAAATGGACATCGTGCCTGAGACTATCCAGCCTCATGTCCAACCATCTTCTGTTCAGCTCAGGGATAACCCACCTCATTCTTCTCCACCGCCAAGCAATCACCACATGGTGATTCACTGTGATGGGTCGTTCATAAGCGCCTCCCAGCTGGAGGCTTATGGTGTTGTTGTTGTTAACCACCATGGACAAGTGTGCGATGGGCGAGCTGAACCTTACTTTGTTCCACACCATTTGAAGCAGAAACAAAGGCGCTTTTGGAAGGTCTCAAATTAGCCCAAGAATATGGAGGAGAATGTATCGTCCTATCAGACTGTCTTAATCTTGTTCAAGCACTCAGTCATAACAAAGCGAGATGGCCATGGAGGGGAGCAGCATGGATGGGATCCATGAAATCGATCCTGCAGAACTCAAATCGCATTGAGGTCAAGTTTGTTCATAGAAAGTTTAATGCTAGAGCTGATTGGGTGGCTAGGTCGTTGGCAAGAAGTTCACTTCCAGATGACTGGATTAGTATTCTTGATCTAATTTCTGATTTTCTTTAGCTTTGTAACCGCCGATTATGGTTTCTTCGGAGTTGAATAAAGTTCATCATTTGTAAAAAAAAAAAAATCATGTATGGGTTAGGGTCTCAGGGATTTACCTGACATTGTCTATTTCCTATGTATATAAAAAAGGGTTATAGGTATAATATGCCCCTCTACTATGACGTTTTATCAAACATACCCCTTTACTATTTTTTACATAAAACATGCCCCTGTACTTCGTAAAAATGATCAAACATGCCCTTTTGTTAAAATTTTAATCCAAAAACTGTTAACCAATGCCGAACTTTAGTTTGGGCGACACAAATGACTAAAATATCCCTAATAAATTCACTTTAGAATCTTTTTGGTTCTTTTGTATAATCAAATCATTCAAATAATTTCACTTTGAAAAGACCCAGGGAAATAAAACAGGGGACAAAACTGACATTTTTTCTCCCATTTGTCGATGTCAGGTCGTCTAAATCTCAATTCAACCATGATTGACGATTTTTTCAATGAAAATTTTAACAGAAGGGCATGTTTGATAATTTTTTCAAAGTACAGAGACATATTTGATGTAAAAAATAGTAAGTGGCATGTTTGATAAAAGGCAAAATACACTTGCATAGCCAAAACTTTCACGTTTATGCCAATAATAGCCAAATTTGGAGAAATACCACTTATAACCACTTCCATCCAATTCTTTAACGCTGTTAGCGTTAAATCTGACTGGACAAACGGAACAGTTGACGTGGTGAGCTCTGATTTTCAATTTTCCGTGTAATTGTCCACGTAGATAATAATTAACTAAAATAAATTAATAGACCAAAATAAAAAAGGCCTCATTGTTAAATGAAAATAAATTTAACGAAAAACAAAAATTATTAAAAGAAAAAACATTTAACAAAAGAACTTCTCCGCTCTCTCTCTCTCTCCTCCCACCACTCAATTTTTTTTTTCTCTCTCACTCTCTCTCTCTCCCGTTGAAATCCCTTTCTTCCTCTCTTCCAACAAATCTCTTTCTTCCTCTTTCAGATCTAAACGCCGGAAAACATAGAGATTCATTCGCCCCAATTCCCAGCGATTCCTCCTCGCCTACGCGCGACCTCTCTCCGGCGCCTCCTCATCATCTCTTTTCCTCCGCTGCACCACCGCCGAAACAGAGCTAGCCATCGCAAAATGACGGTTCAAGCTCTCAAGACGGGGCCTTCGAAACAGAGCTAGCCTCAATCCGCTTCTTCAATCCCTACTCCAAATCCCTCGTCAATCATTATCGCCTCCCACCCCTTTTGCTGCGCCGTTCAGATCTGCTTTCCAAGATGAGCGACTAGTTCGAGATGGTGCGCAAAACAAGACCCGATGCTCAAAGGATTCGATTCAATCCCCTAGAAATCCTCGCTTCCAGAAGCCGAAGAAGGTGACCTGTTCTCTGTCTTCGCCGGCGTTAATGAATTTACTTAACCCGAAGGTGGGGATGGATGGAGGTCGAGCAGCGGTCGGATTCTGAAGGGGAACGACTAATATTCCCCTTCTTTGTTGTTGTTGCCTTGTCCTGCGAGCTATGCCTCCTCGACCCTCCGTTCTCGTTGATTTGAACAAAACCACTCTATTTCTCAGGAAATTCGAGACGTCGTCGATCGTTGACCTTCGCAATCCATCCATTCCTTCCAGATGCAAAACCCAGAACCACCGATTGCTATTGGGGGGAGAGATGGTTGGGAGAGTAGAGGAGGAAGAGAGGTGCAGTGGAGGAGGATACGAAGAGAGAGAATGGATTTTCTGGATTGAATTAGGGATTTTTTTGTTGGTGGTAGAAGGTGGATAGATGTGAGAGACGAGGAGGAGAGCTATCTGACTCTAATTTTTTTTTTAATTTAAAATATGACGTGGCGATTTCATGACATGTGAGTCTAGGTGGACATGATGTGTCGTATAGGTGGCAGCCACATAAGCATAATGTTCACTTAAACTAACTGAGTTAGAGACGGTGTTAAAGTATTTGACGGAACTGGCTATATTTGTCATACAAGTTCAAAAAAAGTGGCTATAAGTGGTATTTCTCCAAATTTGGCTATTATTGGTACAAACGTAAAAGTTTTGGCTATGCAAGTGTATTTTGCCTTGATAAAACGTCATAGTAAAATGGATTATTATAACAAAAAAAGAGTGAAAATAAAACGGAACCTGTTTGGATCTCGAAACTCAGAAGTCAGAAGTCGGAGAACAGAACACAAAACCCCAAGGAGAGAGAGAGAGAGAGAGAGAGAGAGAGAGAGAGATAGAGAGAGAGATGACGACGATACGGCGGTTCTGCTGCAACGACCTTCTCCGCTTCACTTCCGTGAACCTCGACCATCTCACTGAAACTGTAAGTAAGATCTCTCCCTCGGCCCAATCTCTGCTTCCCCTTCGATTTTCTCACCATCAATGGCGTTCGACTTTCGTAGTTCAACATGTCATTTTACATGACCTACTTGGCGAGATGGCCCGACTATTTTCACGTCGCCGAAGCCCCCGGCAACAAAGTCATGGGATACAGTGAGGAGTCTCTTTTACCAATTTTCACTTCTCCCCCTTCTTCCTTTCCCCTGCAATTCAACTGAGTTCGTATGGTTCTTTCTACCTTCAGTTATGGGGAAAGTAGAAGGACAAGGCGAGTCGTGGCACGGCCATGTCACTGCGGTCACGGTGGCTACGGAATACCGCCGGCAGCAATTGGCCAAGAAGCTTATGAACCTGCTGGAAGATATCAGCGACAAGATGTATGGATTTCCTTTCCCAAATTCTTTGGCTGCCCAATTGATTGATTGATTGCTCATTCTGCTGCAAGATTGTGTTAACAATGAGCTGCCTGAGATTATTAAAGACCAATCAGAACGGTGACATTATACATCGATCCTGTCTGAGATTATTGTCTACTGCTGCTGCTGTTGCTGTTTGAAGTTGTATTTGTTCTTTATGTGGTGGCATTGAATGATGTGATATATGATGATTGTGTGCAATTTCAACCTTGTTTTCGATAACGTGATACGAAGTTCTCTGCATATTGATTAAGATGCTCTTTGAAAGTCACTTGTTCTACACTTTTGCTTCTTTTTTTGTGTTATTCATGCTTTTAACAAGAGGCTTGCTTCAGTGATAAGGGCTACTTCGTGGATCTTTTTGTGAGAGCATCAAATACACCCGCGATAAAGATGTATGAGAAGGTAATAGTTTCTTCCCTTCCGATTCCTCATTCTTATTTTTATATTAAAGACCATCTCTCAGTCTCAGGCACCAGGTTTTGTTACGAACCATCTCATTAAATTTTAGATAGCCACAACATTTTTTCCCATGATGTTGCATTTCATGGAGCTTACCAATACTTTGTTACCTTCTAATCTCACAGCTGACAATATAATTGCACGTTAGAACCTTTCGATCTGACGAAGTACAAGAGAGTGAAGATAGTAAGGTTGCCTTTTTGATTAACAAGAATGTGAGGGTAACTTTAGCTCTATAGTCTATTGTCAGAATATTGGAAGTTCTTCCCTCAGCTGCCTCATGGAATGAAAATACTAGAATAATTGCTCGATGCTTCACCCCTGATTTAGTTGTGAAACTATGCTTCACCTTCTGCTTGCTGAACCTTTGAGCTTTCATCCAAGTTCAGCACAAACAATCAAGTAATAGCTTTCGCAGCTCTGTTGGGTCACTTAATCAAATCCAAAGTATAGTCAATGAGTTGCTGTGAATTCATTTACAACTATTCACCAGCTTAGTCTTTTCAGTTCTGATGATGATAACTACCACTTATAACACTTCTTTTGATTTGTAATATTAGTTCCTTGAATGTTCCTTGGGTAAGTAGGTATCTCTATTAATGGGTTAATGTCACTGGAAAATATCAGGCAGCTTCTTTTTAGATTTCTGCAGGAACTAGGTCTGGTGTTCTGTTTCTTTGTCTCATTAATAGAGGATATGAGAATGCATTGACATGCTCTCACTTTCTGAACAATACTCTCTGGCTAACCAAGAGAATACTGGGAAATAAAATGACGAATTATTTTGTGCCAGTTAAAACAACTAATCTGATTCTAACTCAATGTGTGTGTTTAATTGTTTATGTTGCAGCTTGGATATGTAATCTACAGACGGGTGCTCCGCTACTACTCTGGAGAGGAAGATGGCTTAGGTAGGCATTGTTTGATCATGCTGAAGTATCATCACCAAACTCCTTTCATGTTCTTTTCCCCAGATTGTTTCTCAACTTGTAACTTTTTTCTTTTGGGATGTTTTTTCAGATATGAGGAAAGCTTTATCTCGTGACGTGGACAAGAAATCAATCATCCCTCTTAAACGGCCTATTACTCCCGACGAATTAGAGTACGATTAAGTATCAAAGGCCGATACCTTAGCTTAACGGTGATGTCTGTTGAGCTTGACAGCAGTGGAAGAAGCTACTCCGTGATATATTCTTGTAATTTATGGTTTGATACTTGGTGAGTCCCATTTCAGATATTGCCAGGGCCGTCATCCTCTGGATAGAACGTGGTAGCGCTTGAAACAGTTACTGTGTGGAAGCTTAGAAGGCATTCCCCTATTATTGCTCCTCTCTTTAGCCATAATGCTTCGTATGGGTGCTTCGCCAGGGAAAAACATAAATGGTAGCAACTCAATATCTGCTTTATTCGTTCTCCAGTGAAGATCAAACCTGTAAACTTATTATCCGCAGCGATTGAAGCCCTCATTTTTAAGCTGTGAGTTAATAGTGGTTGTACTTTTATTTTCTTTTTGCAGAACTAATTCTATTGTTTAAGTGAAGCCCGCAGGATTATTCACATCCTTTTTAGTTCTTACATAATACGAAGTACCTTCTGTTCCCTCTGCTTCTCATGGCAAATTCACATCCCATCTGGGTCTTCTGTTTCCCTATGGAATGGGTTATGGTGATTACTTGTTTTTAGTAATCACGCCGGCCGCCTACACCATCCCCGACGATGACTCCGTGCGGGCCACCCTCGGCCACTGCAGCGGCCTGCCTCCCCCTTCGGTTACCCCTGACCACCGCTGCGTGTACCCTCCCTCTCCCTCTCTCTCCCTCTCTCTCTCTCTCTCTCTCTCTCTCTCTCTCTCTCTCTCTCTCTCTCTCTCTCTCTCTCTCTCTCTCTCTCTCTCTCTCTCTCTCTCTCTCTCTCTCGTCGGGAGACGACTACGTGAAATGGCGATGGCGGAACCAGATGTTGCGGTTGGGGTCGACAGTGACGTTGGTGGAGGAGACGCCTTTGGAGCGACAGGGATGAGAATTCCAATCGAACAAGGAGGCGCACAGCAGCAGCCTTATCATTCGACGACGATGTCATTGTCATCTCTCACAATTGGTTTTTGAAAGTCCATATATATTTGTCATAGTGGTATGGAATGGTATTTATTTGGTTTTTCACAGTGGTAGTGATTTGATTTATGGAATGGTATTGTTTTGTTTTTATTGTAGTAGTGGTGCTGGTTGATTTTGGTATTGGTTTGATTCTTATAATGGTATAGATTGTTTATATTGGTAGTTTTTGCCGTGTAATGGTACTATTTTTTTTCCGTAGTTGTATTGGTTCCTCTCGATTGGTTGTATTGGTATAATTTTTTTATATGTTTTGGTATTGATTTCTTGTTTTATTTCTATAATGATATTGGTATTTCTGGAAGTGGTCAAGCAACTCATTTTCAATATTGAATACCAATCCATCGAAACAAATATACGCTAATAACACAATGTAAACACTACCAATAAAATTTAGCATCACTACCTAAACAATAAGCATCATAATACCATTCCTACCCAATGTAAACACTATCAATAAAATTTAGCTTCACTACCAAAACAGTAAGCACCATAATACCATTCCTACCCTTAGTAATCACGTGATTACTACTTTGTAGTACTCACCGTAACCGCTACCCTTTCCCTATATGTACTGGACTACTGGTCCATCCATCATCATAAATCCCTTCGGTATGCATGAACGGGAAGCTCCACCCTCGGAGTTAGCTCGAATTATTAGAGAAGATCTCATGGGAGTTAGCTTTCCCCGGATGGCAATTGGAGAAGCGTAGTGTCTAATCTCCCCCTGTGCTCGTTACCTCTGTTTCGTTTTTTTCTTTTGAGGTGAGATTACCGCCTGCGCGGTGTTGGGAGTTCTGGGTAGCAGGGGTTTCCGCTTGCACCGTCTCTGCTTCAGGCTGTTTTCTTGGTGGGATTTTTTCCCCCACCTCCTTTCAATAAAAAAAAATCCATCATCATAAATTCATGATCATGAATCATTGTTAATTATTCCCCTAGTGGCGAAAACCGACTTGTAGTAATGTCGCTTATGATGAAGCTTTACAGAGAATTAAGCGAAGGATTCTAATTCGAGAACAACCGACTCGGGGTGAACAAACACACCCGCAAACCGACCCATCCGTCCAACTCAACCCAATTCAATCGTATTTATCGCTAAAATTAAGGTTTTGGGTTGAGTGAGGGTTTTCTTTTGTACAACCCGCCACTTTTGGGTTGAGTTTGGATTTTGGATTACACAACCCGTCTAACCCAACCCAACCCGTGTTCCAACTATTAGTATGAGTTCGTGTACAAAAAATATTTATGTCGTATATAGCCATACTTATAAGAAAATTAAGATATTTTGTCATGTTTTTCTCCCATGGTCTCCCTAATCTAATTCATTCATCGACTTAAAATTTAGACATAGATTTAATATAGCTATGATTCACGTAATCCTTTTTCTTATGTACAATTTTAATAGAATAACATATTATGGATGCGTTTGTTTATAACCTATTTAGCCTATTTAAACAAATATTGTGAAAAAAACTAGACATATGTTGAAGTAAATTATATTTTATTAAAATTCAAACAACATTTGTGAATTTCGATACCTTTCACCTTGGTTTATTCGTTTGAAATTTTAATTAGTTATAAAAATATTTTTATGGTGTAGAATAATTACATATTTTGTGTTGGGTTGGGTTTTTACTTAAAATTATTGCCAACCCGACCCAACCCAATTGAAAACAAATCGTAAGGTTTTAATTTTTTTGGTTGGGTTTGGGTTTAATATTTTCCAAACCGTAATGCATGAGTCAGGTGATTAAAATAGCTAAACCCGAACCACCCGACCCATGTACACCCTACAACCGAGCTCTATGCGGCAGTTGGTTTACAGGACTAAGACAGTGCTCTGTCTTTTATAATGTGAAAGGCGGTGTTCGTTCAGCCCCAATCAAAGGGCGCCATTGTTTTTTTTTTATATATATATATATAAGGATACTCGTGCGGTGGGCATACGGTTCGGTAAACCCGAACCGAACCGAATCGAACTTAAACCGAATAACATTAATTCTGTTCGGAATTCGGAAGGGAAAAGGGTATATTTTGGAAACCAAGGTCCTTTCGACAAATGACCGAATTTCTGAATTACTATAATTGCAAGCTCCAAATGGTAGATTTTTATGTTTGTACTTATTATGAGACTTAAATATTTGAATTATGTTAGTGTTTTATGACTTATGTGTTGAAATGTTTGATCTTATCATTGATGATGCACTTAATTGCATATTTATTGTTTACATTAGGGGTGAAAAATAATTTAAAAGAGAAAAAATACAAGCTAACCTCACAAGTTCGGGTTTTCATACAAAACCGAAGAACCGAATTATAATTCAGTTTGAACCGACAGAACCAAATTATAATTCGATTTGAGGTTTGAAGGAACTCGGAAATACGGTATGCATTATTTTGGTTCGGTTTGAATCAAACCGACCAAATACTCATCCCTCGTGAGCGTGGAGTATCCCAATGGATTCCATTTGCCGGAAGAGACTGAGAATTTGATGTGTTGTTGTAATAAAAAGTAGAAACAGGACGACTGGACGAGTTGATGTTCCACTCGGGATACACATTTTAGAAATGCTTCCGGGTTAAAGAAACTAGCAAATGGAACGCACAGTTTGAAGGCTGTTTTCGTGGCCAATAGGATATCGGCTTCAACAAAGCTTTCCAGATTCTTGAAACTACCGAACTAGCAATTCCATTGATCTGTACCTTCCACGTTTTTTGGAGAAAGAAAACAATAAGAAGAGAGTTGAAGTACAACAATTCTTGGCTAAGCTATGGGACCACTTTATTTCCATGTGAACAGAGGAATGCAAAACAAGTTTCGGGATCCGCCAGTAAAGTGGCAGAGCAGTATAAAGAGTCTGAGTTAGTTCGTAAGACATGAGAGCCAGAGGAATTTACTAGTCTACATCTTACAATGTTAGCATTCTAAGCTACTGCACTCTGTTCTTGATGCTCCGGAACCCATTCACGAGGCCACCATTTCGGTCTAAAAGCTTCGACCTTTACATCTTTCTGACCCTCTAAGGCCAAAGAACCTGATCCTTTGAATGCATCATCCAATCTCAAAAGTCCGAGCCCTCGGCAGCCAATTGCTGTTGTCACATATCCTATTTTCTTGCCTGAACTGGTATCAATCACATGTGAACCGAGAGAAACTCGCTGTTCCACCTCTGGGGAGAAAAAACATTGGAGAGTAGTAATACATTAGCAAAAATGAGATATTCAATTGTAGCCAGAGAAGCAAATCACTTATTGAACGTGAAGTTCAAACCTTTTCCATCGTCATTAACAAACTTCAAAGGAACCAAGCGTTTACGAATGACCCCTCTGTGGTGTGTCCTGGCCACAAGTTCCTGACCCACATAACAGCCTTTATCAAAGCTTATCGCATTTAATCCCACGAGGTTGAATTCAAGCGGAATGGCCTCGCCTTTGGGGATCTCGGATGAGCCTTCTGCAACTCCATTCTCGATTCTCCATACTAAGTAGTTCTCCTCATTTGTTTCCTTATCAGCTTCAACTAAGGGTGCTGCAGTAGAATCAGCAATTCTGTCAACTAAGCATCAGGCTGCTCGATATCGATCAACGCATGTCCTGATAATACGAAAGACTCACGGGTTGTATTAGTTGGGAAGATCCCTCTCAAACCAAGGCAATCCAGTCTAGGATCCTTGAACCATTGGCATCCACCATCACTGCCATGTGAAGCTGATATACCAGCAAGATCAACACCAGATCCCCATCCAAGACCTGCTGCCCCTGGCTCTTCTACTTCACTAGATTTCTCGCTGATATCTCCCCCAAATCGCTGCCAGCATTGAAAGTCTTCCCCTACATTCTCAATCTCAACCTTAGACCTTAGCCGGTACCTGCCAAATCATAACCACCAAACGTAGCTCCCTAACATCATCACCTAGCTACCACCATTTTCCCACAACACAATGAAGAGCATTCAGAAAGATTCAATAAATCTACACCTAACAAAAGAAACTTCCCTACAAACTTCTAAGAAAATCCAATGGTATTCAATCATTCTAGACTAACCTAAGGGAAAGCTGGAGCTGACCTTTTTAAGGTTCCCAAGAGCTCATCCAGAGCGGAAGCATCCACATCGGCGAACAATTCGGTCGAATCAGTGGAGCCCGGACCGGGACCCGAACCCGTCGGGTCAAGCTTCTCGGCCTCCTTCGCGGGCCTATAGAGAAAGAAATCGTACAGAAACCTGCCCTGGGGAGTCAGCAGGGCGGCGTACATCGGCGGCTCGGAGACGGCGGGCATATTCGGAGTGGGGATTGTCGCGGTCCGCTCGTGCAGTGGCTCGCCAAATCTCCGGACATCGTTGGTGAGCAGTCCTTGGAGGAATTTGAGGGTGTCGGGGCCGGAGAAGCGGACTACCGACCGAGATTTGAGGAGGGAAGTGACAAGACCGGCGGAGTTCACGGCGCTGGAGTGGGAGCGACGGCCGGCGGCGGCGAGGAATGTTTTCGAAGAACTAAACTGGCGCATTTTCTGACGACGTTCTGGGCTTGGACTGCGGGAGGAATGGACGGTGGGAAATTGCTCCGTAGGAAGTTAGGCTTGCACGAGCTAGGGGTGTTAAAATGGTTTGGTTACCATGATAATCGTTTTAACCGGTACTATTTGGATAATTTAGTTTGGTTAATTTAGATAATTGGTTTGGTTTGGTTAAAGTTTTTAGTTTGTTTGGTTTAGGTGGTTTGATTTGGTTTCAGACACTCCTAACCAGTCAAACCAAATTAACCAGTTAAGTAATTAGTCATATATCTAACATATATTATATACACATACTTAATACTTTGCATAACCACTCAAGAGTTAACGTTCATCCCTTTTAAACTCATAAAATATAAAGCTCAATATTGTTCATATAGTGTATATTTGTATATGTAAAATGTAGACCACAACATATGGACGCCTAATTTAGATAAATTTCATACATTATGATGATGAAAACTTGAAAAGAAGGTTATTTCCAGCATATGATAATTGCTAAGAGACTAAGTCAATTTACACAAACACAAGTACACAACAATTCATTAACCCATACCATTGTCATAAATTTTTGTTAGGTGAATACTTCTATACTAATCGTAAGATAATTGTCTTAGTTGCATGTATTTTTGTTAAGGGTCAACTATAACTACGTGTTGATTGTTATGTTTTATTCATTATATAAATTTCGAATTGTTGCATTAACCGAAAAAATTTCATCGTCAATGATAATGTAATTTTATATTGGTTAATCTGGTTAACCAATTAACCAAACCGATTAAACTTTAGTTTGGTTAATTTGGACGGTTTGGTTATGATATTGTATTCCATGGTTAATGAAATTTAGCCTTATTTGGTTTGGTTATAACCATGGTAACCATTTGAACACCCCTAGCACGAGCCACGTGGAGGTTTGGGGGTCCTCCGTTTTGATTACCACGTGGAGCGTTTAGGGGACGTCAGCTAGAAATGGACGCCATCTCGGGATTCCTCCGTCGACGAAGAGGGGTAAGAGACTCATAGGGTGGGCAATGGAGGGTTAGGTGGGTTTTGGTTTTAAATTGACTCATCCGCTTACTAACGAGTTGGAATAATTGTGACCCGTAATTCACATACATATCTCTGCAGATTGGGTTGGGTGGGTGGCGGATGAGTGCGGTTGGGTCGTGGGTCAACCCGCAAAACCAATTCTCCAACTAGTCATTAAGAAAGTTGACTAACATTTATAATAAGTTTATAGCATTTGGTAGGGGGCTTGAAGCAACGTCATCCTTCACAGGTGTTGGGTGTTGGGTTTGAAGCATGGGGTCCAAAGTTCAATTCCCCTTCTTCTCCCTTGAAAAATTGCATTTTTTGACTTGGTCTAACCTTCCAAGTGGGGTCAATTGACCCCACAACCAACAACATGGCTCCGCCAATGACCACAGGCAGCTCGGCGATCGTTCATAATGGGGGTGTTGGTCTTCAAGCTACGGACTCTGCGCAGCATTTGGGGGCAGGGTCTTCGCCTAGGCGAGTCTTGGATATGAAACTCACTCGACTGCGGTTGTTGTGAGAGACGAAGATTGTGGCAAGGCTGGCAGAGGTGGCGATGTCGGCGAAGGTTCGGGCGACACAATGCTAGTTCCGACGCTCCTCATCGCACAAGAGAGGAGTGGGTTCGTGGGTGAGATGTGGATTCGTGGGGAGGCCGTTAAATTAGTATTTGTATTAGTATTTGAGTGAATATTGATTAAACTGCCCTTTATTTAATTTTGAACATACGATTATTTTTTAATCTAATGATTATAAGGTTAATTAAAATGTTACTAACTCTTAAAGAATTAGCAATTAATCCCATTCCTCTACAATACACTAAATTCGTCTATAATATATAATAAATATAATACATGTATGAACCATAGTACATCCAAAGAGTCACATTTGTATTGCAGCTTCATTACATTTGTTGTGGAATGAGCTTGCAAGTGTATTTCAAATTTCCCGCATCAAAGTGAAAGTAGAAAGAGTAGATTCGTTTTCACAATCATTATTATTATTCTTATTTATAGAAAAAGTACATCAGTAATGAGATTTGAACCGTGATTTCTTCGAACAAAGGTAAGAAACATAACCAATTACAATAAACACATTTGTGTGATCTTATTCAATTAAAACGACAAAGAAGCTTAAATATGACAATTCCTAGGGCTTTTCCATCATGGTTAGCAAGCGAAATATCATTGATTCAAATATTGCACATCAAATCACACTCTTGAATGTGTAGAAGCGATGTAGAATTTTTAACATAGACTTAATTGTTATAACTATCATAAAGTAACAATATTTTTAAACAAAAAGTGAATATGGGGCACATGTGTCTTTAAGAGGGGTAAATATGGAAAGGTTGAGTGATGTTGGTTTGCCGAACACGGATGGAAAAGACACTATTGATGTAAACGGGCACAAGTAGTGCCCCGACCCACTAAACGCTCAACCAAAGCAGTTAAAATCAGGATTTTACCTAAAATCGAAAACTGGGGTAAAATCGAATCGTAGAATCGTAGGATTTTAAGTACCATATAGAAATTAACATATAATAATATTAATAAGATAAATAATTAATAACACAAAGACTTATAACATTTAAAGTTATAATTTTCAAGATTAATGTTCCAAAATCATCATTTTAATTGTTATTTAATGCATAACTCAAAATAATTTATGAGGAAGGGATAGAGATCATAGGGGTTGGCTCTTTTTTTTCAAGTTGTGTCTAGGTAGTTTAACTCAAAGTAGTATTCCGGCATCGTTTACTAATTAAGCATGATTTAAAACTAAGAATAGGTGAACTCCATTAAAATAATTAATATTAGGGGTGGTAGTTTAGTTATTTCGGTTCTTACCGGTAATCGATCGACCGGTTATCGGTTAACCGAAATAACGACTCTCCCTATCGAAAACCACCCGAAATAGGCTTCGGTTTCTCTGTTATCGTTTAACCGAACCACTTTTACGACCAAAAACCATTTCATGCAGCCTTTGATAACCGACCGAAGTTCGGTTACTTCGGTTATCAGTTAGTGGATAACTGGCCCGTTATCGGTTTAACTGGTCGGTTAATCGATAACCGGTAACCGAACTGCCACCCCTAATTAATGTCATTGGTTTGGTACAAATATATTTATTAATCAAATCAAGGTTCAAGAAGGCACGCCTAGGCGCACGCCTAGGCTCAATTAGGCGCTAGGCGGTGGAGGATCGCCTTGACTTGGCCATAGGCGTTGTAAAAGGCGCTGGTAGCGCTTAGTAGGTAGGAATAGCGCTTATTTTGCGCCTAGTGGAGAGAAGGCGTGCCTGGGCGTTCCTGGGCGAGCTTAGGCGGTTAAACCCCATACTCTTCGTTTTGTCCTAGAAAATCAGAAAATTGCCTCTTGCCCTAGAAAATCAGAAACATGGGAAGGGGATGACCATGCTATGTATGTATCCGTAGATGAGGATGAGGAATCATATTGTGCACCCTCGAGTACTGTTACAGATGCAATGGCGGGTGAACAGAGTGAGCTTCGCAGGAGTGCACGAGTGAGAGAGCTCCATGGTGAAGAATTAGAGTCCGAAGAGGAGGAGGAGGAGGATGGTGAGGCGATTGCTTTTGAGGATGATGAAGATGAAGTGGTGGCTGGACGAACCTTCCTTGAATGATGAAGAATGAACATTTCCCTATGAACCTTGAATCAAATAATTGGTTAATAATGATGTTAATTCTTACGTACTTACAATATTCGGACAATTGTTTTAGCGATGCGTTAAACAAGTAGAAGGAAAAAGGGTTGACCGAACCCTAATTAGTTTTTTTTTCAAATTTTCTTTTAATAGGAAAAATATATGAGAAGATCCCCATCATTGCCCTTTCCATCGAAAAAGTTATGCTTCTTTTGAATTGGCTCAAGCTCCCAATTTTGTTCACATAGGATCAAAATCCCGATTTTTGTACGATTTTACGATTTTAAAGATTTTAATTTCGATTTTGAACGATTTTAAGGTCCACCGATTTTATAGTAAAATCAGGATCGAAATCCCTAAGTAAAAGCCTAAAATCCTACGATTTTACGATCAAAATCCCGATTTTGACTGCATTGCGCTCAACCATCGCCGTCTTTCTAAACTTCCCATCAGACTCAACAATTGGCTAACCTCATCTACCTCTGTTGTTATGCCAGAGCAATTTTGGAGGGATAAATATCGAAAGATTGAGTGTTGTAGGTTTCTCCAACGCGGATGGAAAAGATGCTACTAATGTAAACGAGCCCAAATGGTGTCTGGCCGACTAAACGCTCAACCACCCGAGTTACTGCCGCTACACCTAATATAATAGTGAAATGGGAAATGTGTCTCCCCCATTACAAAATCCTTGCATCCAATGTAAAAGCAGGAAAGGTAGATTCGTCTTCACTGTCATTTATTATTATCTTATTTACACGAAAAATACATAAGTGATGGGATTTGAATTGTGAACTCTTTGAGAAAAGACAAGAAATATAACCAGTTTCGCTAAACAAATTTGTTTACAATTTTTAAATGAAAACATACTTAAAGGTTAAATCTGAAAAATCATAGGAATTTTTTTATCACAGTTAGCTAAGCCACTAACTCTCCCCTAAATATTTTTTTAGTATTTGATACTTCTTTTTGCATACTTGATTATTTTAATTTGAGTTTAATAATGAATTCTATTTCTATTTATCTTATAAAAGGAGAATAATTTTAAAAATGCAAGCCTAATGTCATTGGTGCAAATATTACACATCGAATTGCAGTGTTGAATGTGTAGAAGCGATGCAGAATTCTTGACATAGACTTAAATAATATAACTACCATAAAGAAACAATATTTTTGAACATAGAAGTTTTTAGTGAATATGGGCACATGCGTCTTTCAGAGGGGTAAATATGGAAAGGTTGAGTGATGTTGGTTTGCCAAATGCGGATTGAAAAGATAATACTAATGTAAACGGGCCCAAATAGTGCCTCGATCCACTAAACGTTCACCCATCACCGTCTCTCTAAACTTCCCATCAGACTCAACAACCGGCTAACCTCCTCTACCTCTATTGTTACACCAGAACAAT